TTATCTCGGATCGGTGTCCGAAATACCATACTTTTCACTGCGCCTCCTGGCGGTTTCTGAATTTTCTGAATTTTTCTTGCAAAAATTAAAAATACTCGTCACGTATCTAAAAATAATCAAAAGGCCAAAATAAGTGTTTTAAAACTTTTTTGACCAATTAAGAGTTCTGGCATGACGGTGATTCCTCTCAGCCTAGCCGTTTTTAGCTAGTTTAACCCAATTTTGGCCGGTTTTGCATGAAAACATGTGAAAAACCAAGTTAAGGGACCTATGTTGGCTGGAAAAGGCAAAAATTGATATTCTACAAGCAGAAGGGTCTCCAGGTATGGCGGCTCCGCCATTCCTCCTTCGTGGTCGGGGTTCTCCTTCGGCTAACCTACACTAGAAAGGGACGAAGAACACAATGGTAAAAAAAAATGAGAAAAGGCTTATCGGAGTAGGTTTTGGATTTCGACCGCAGCAACTCGGCTAAGCTTCACTCGTATTTTTCAGCTCACTCATCGGCCTTTTGACTCCGATATGGGTGTAGATAGGCTTAGAATCGAATTTGGAACGAGAATGGGAAAAAAATACCTTTTCGGCATCGACAACGACTCCAATGCGGCAACAACGACAGTCAATTTCTTTTTGATCGCCTTTCTTCTTCTTCTTCAGCAAGGAATGGTGCGGCTAGGGTTAGGGTTTCTTGGTATGCAAAGTTTAAATACCCTCCCCGAGTCAATCTAGGATATCTTTGCAGGGATACGTGGTCCTCTGCTGTCCTTTGGATCCCTCTTATTCGAGAAATGAATTTGGGCTGTACGATCGGATTGAATCTGACCGTTTGATCGCGCTTGAGGAGGAATTCATCTAAGACCATCCATACGTACGGGATGCAATCTGAACTGTTGGATTTGCTGGCACGCAGATTATCCGTGTGCCCTCCTGTGTGGAATCAATGTCGGCATGTCCGCCACGCAGTGCGTTCTGACTTGTCGTTGCTATTGACGTGGCCATATTTGTTTTTTTTGTAATTTTACCACCTGTTTTGAATTTTTCTTTAAAAAACATCTCTTTTTATTCACAATTTCACTTATTTTTTAAAAATTATTTTTAATTTCATTCATAAATATATATTTTTTTAAATTTTACAAAATTAAAATAAAATAAAAATTTAAATTATTTTAATATATTATTTTATTAATTATAAAATTATCCCGCATTAAATTTTTAGACTTTGGTGTTACAGCATTATTATTTTAATATTTATAAAACATAATTAATTACATATAATATAATAATTTATATTAAAAATATTTTTTTATTATTAATTTTCCTACACACCTTACGAATGTCACCTTAAAAGTTATTTTTTTACTTCGTTATTTTCTAGTAGCTTACAGTACAAACCCTTTAACTGCTCCAATTTACGTTGTTATATTAAAAATAGATGTGGTTGAATTGGGCCTGAGCAAACACAATTTCCTGGATCGTAATCTGAAACGAAAAGAGACTGACCCTTATCCATTCCATCTCCTCATCTTTTAGCTTTTGGATTTCAAACAAACAGCTAGTCATCAGTAACTCTTTGTCCAATGGCAATGGCAATGGCAATGGCGACAATAGCAGATGACGGGAGTAGAAGATGGTGCATGGCATCTTTAAGATCAGCTCTTCCTTCAACCACGACGGTCCCCTCATCTCCATCCTCAATTCGTTTCCTATCTTCGTTATCTCGTCGCTATGGCCTTAGTCTCGGCAGCCCTCGCCGCAACAATCACTTTCGGCTTGCTTCCTCCTTTGCGGGTCTTTGCCCTGTAAACCCGCTTCTTTCCATTGGCTTAGGCGGTATTGTTTCTTCTTCCTCTTTGATTGTGATTGATTTCTGCCATTTCCTGTTTGCTCTAAATTCTAGAGGATTTGGCTACAGAAAACTGCGAATTTGTAGATTTTTCTTTTTGTCGGTGGTGTTCTACTTTTGGATGATTTCATTTCTAGTCTCGTTTTCTTACAATTTCATATCTAACTGTCAACTCCTTAATCATGTTCTCTATCAGTTGGGTCTCAGTTTAAATTTAAGTATGGTCTTCATAGAATTTTGGGTGATGTGTTAATTTTCCTTGATTTGTTTTGGAGAATACCACATTCAAGTGCTTGAACTTCCAGTGCTCTTCTTCCTTGTCTAGATTTGACCAGCTTTGAGCACGGTTTTGCCATTGTTGACAATGGGGGTCGTATATACGCTATGAGGCATGGCAAGCGTGTTCCCAAGCTCAACAGGCCCCCTGACCAGCGCCGTGCACTGCTGCGTGGCCTCACCACTCAGCTCCTGAAGCATGGGCGTATTAAAACCACCCGAGCAAGGGCCAGCGCTATGAGGAAGTATGTTGACAAGATGATCACCCTCGCCAAGGACGGGTCTCTTCACAAGAGACGGCAGGCTCTTGGCTTCATTTATGAAAAGCAAATTGTTCATGCTTTGTTTTCTGAGGTTCAGGATAGGTACGGGGAGAGAAATGGTGGTTATACAAGGATCATTAGAACACTCCCCAGGCGGGGAGACAACGCTCCCATGGCATACATTGAACTTGTTTAGGTACTTACACTTCTTCAAACCTAATTTCTGTGCTGCTACTGTGTTGTTTATTGGCTGTTAGCAATTAGCCATTTGAGAGTGCCCGAATTCATATGATAAGTATGATTTATTTTCTGATTTTTCAAGATTCTGAAGTCAGCTGATGTATGTGCTCTGGTTGCTAATTGTACTTTGGATTTATCTTTCGTTGTGGTGTAGATGAGTTTTCACTTGCCATAGTGTCATTAATGTTATCCGCATTTTGAGGAATGTAGCTTAGCACACTGGAGTTGCGTGCATGTTCAGTTATAGTTGATTTACTAGGAATACAGATACCAAGTTGGGTATGCCTGATAAGACTTTTGATGAATGGGAAGATAGGCAATAAGCTTAACTGAATGTTAGAACAGAATCCAAATCACAGTCAAAATTTAGGTCTAGTGTGCAGGCCTCAAGATATAATAATGTAAAGGAACTAAAGGAACTTGAAACAGAGAAAAAGGAATGGAGAAGATTCAATTTTGTTCACGAGTTTGACTGGTTTCACTTGTATTCCAAAAATTAAAACTTATGGATGATCTCTGTTCTTGTGGCAGCGCATTGCAGTTGCCTTAGATGAGTCACCCATCAACTAAATCTATCTACTAAATTTTTTGAACTGGTTCATGGTATGGGTTCACTTGGGTCACTTTTGTTCTCAATCCAGATCCAGGACCAGATTTAAGAAGAATTGGGGCAAGTAAGGAATTTGTTAATGTAGGTTGCAAGGATTGTGTGATAAAATGGTCGAGAAAGAGAGTGAAGACTTTATGTTTTAACAAACTTCCTTTTAAATTTGAGATTAGTTAGGAGTGTAGATGTGAAAATGAAGTACTAAGAATCCATTAAACAACCTCTTCAAGGGAAAAGAAGGAGTCATTAACAACCTGTTTATCTCTTGGAACTTAAATTAATGATATCTTCTTTAAGAACTTGTAACTATATTAACTGACTCCTTTAGGAACTTGTAACATGAGGATTACTGTTCATGTTGTAGCAACAAAAAGAATATGAATAATATATCTTTTGACATAAAAAGGAATCCCAATCAATAGAGCAAGGACACATTACTAAACTTGCTATTACTTATAATCCAAATAATGAACCTAATAAGTGGTTCAATACGATTGTGAACCAAAGTTATATACCAACTAAGCCTACCTTAACCAGAACCTAAATTTAGCATTGTTCTATTTCCTATCTATACCCATACCATGATCTTGATGTACTTCATTTTAGCCAACTATAGATTCACCTCGGAAGCTAATAGAAATGTTTTAACATGCTCTGTGCCTTCATAAATGATAACTTGCAAACTGGTACAGTATTTCCATGTTGTGGCTTCATTATCATTATCATTATCATTTTCCTTCCTCAATTAGTTGCTCTTTGCCTTCATAAGGATTCATAACTATTGTGTTTTAGTTTTGTTACTTTCTACGCATACTTCTTTTCTTCCAAAATAATAGTTTTTTTATATGCATTTTGAACTTCCCTATAATTAACTTTTTAAAGTTAGCATAGAAGTTATGGATCTAATATTAAGGTTATGCCTTTTTCTCTTGGTCTGTTCCCCCATTTTTTGCTTCTCACTTCAATGTGTTTTAACCTTCTTATTGTGAAAGCTTGTACATTTTTCTTTTTCGGGTTGCAGCAAATTTACTATTTGTTTCATTTCATTTCTTTTATGGAGGGGAAAGGAAGGAGAAACAAGCAAGTCAGTTATCACAGGTGACAAAATTTTCCAAGCAATGCCAATCTTAAAGGATATTTGGGAAGGTTTATATGTCCAAGGAGTCCACGAAATTCCAAAATCCATTTATTGTTGATGTAATCTGTTTGCTTTTATGCATTTAATTTAAAGCATATTTCTATTTGGGTTGTTCTCGGGTACTGTGTGATTCCATATCTTTGTTGGTAGGATGATACTTGCATTTTTGGCATTGTAAGGTGCTTTGTAATCTACTCAGATTCTAGGTGGGGTAAAATAATAGAGAAAAAGAGTGATACAGGAAAGTAATTTTGGTGACAAAGAGATATACTGGTAATGCCAGCACTTTTGCTATGTGAAGACCTCAAAGACAAGCTCAAAGGCCTGACTCATAGCCAAACCACCCCGGGTGATATTGTCACCAAGCCAAACAACTTGTTCCGAGTTCTGAAATAGGGATAAATACCCATTTTGTGAGTTTATGGAGAAGGGCAACGTTAGAACAATCTTTTGAGGGTTATGACTCCTTTCAAATGTTGAACAAGCTATGAGCTGGATGTTGCTGGCAAATTACCCTAAAATGCCTTATTGGGTTGATTCAATTAAAAAGAAAATGATTGTTTAGATCCCTCAACATAAA